ACGTCAAAGAGTTGGTCAACATTGGAGTGTCACTGTGGCGCACGGAGTACGAGAAAGAGAGAGAGACAGCTATATAAATGACAACTGAAGGGTCAGTACTGAATGAAAAGTATGGAACAATTGGCTCTTTATATCTTCGAAAATAACACTTAAATACGAAATTTTTATTTTATTTTTAAGTTTAAACCATAATTTTTTTTTTTTAAATCAGTTTAAACAATATTTCATCACTGTTTTTTGTGTGGGAAATTGGTGGGATAAGGTAATTAACACATAATATTGATTTTTTTTAACAAGAAAAATTCTCAAAAATCATTTAAAAGTATCTACCAGATAAACTATACTCTTATGTAATGGTTAAAAAAAAAAACTTCATAATCACATAAAAAAATATTTATTAAATTATGAATTTACTGTAAATTCATAATTTTATAACAGAAAATTCATAATATCATAATAGAAAAATTCATAATCTCATAAAAGAAAATTCATAATTTCATAACTGCACATTCATGAATCCATCCCTGCACATTCATGCAATTATGAATGTGCAGGGATGGATTCATGAATGTGCAGTTATGAAATTATGAATTTTCTTTTTATGAGATTATGTTGAAGAAGCTTGCGCGAAGAGGAAGTGAAACCGCAAAATGTGAAACTGAACAAGAAAAGTCATGCAGTTAATTAAAGAAAAGAAAAAAAAAAAGAAAAAAAAAATAACGATGCACTGTTACGTTGGACCGTGTTCACCATGGATGGTGAACACGGTTCCATGGCATAACGATTCCACAGGGCCTCATATTTTAGAAAATTCAATATTTAATTTTTACCTAGCTAGTTAATAAATAAAAAAAATTATAATTAATTTTAAAAGATTTTATGGAGGAATGGTAGAAATGTGTGTCTATAGTGTTTGATCTTGAAGATGGGAGGTTTGAATCGTGCCCACTGCTTTAGCTTTGCGCATATCTTTCCTTAAAAAAAAAAAAAAAAAAATCATTTTGCTTTGCATACACTTTTTTTTTTAATCCTTTTGCCTTTCTCTTTGTGCACATCAGTATTTTACCATATTATTATTATTATTGTTGTTGTTGTTCTTGTTGTTGTTATAATTGTAATTTATTCCATAATATGTATTTTATCTTTCTCTTTGCGCACAATAACATTTTACCACATTATTAGAAAAAATTACGGTATTGATTCTAAAAAATTGTGCTTTTGATAGGCTTTATTTATTTACAAGGACGAGACCACAAAAATCTAAAAATCAATCTTGTTGATAAATAACTAAAAATATACATATCTCACTAATATTAGGATCAAAAGTGAATATTATGATAAAATAATTTAAAATAAACTGTCACTAATAAATTAAATTTAGGATAAAAAAAAAAAAAATTAGCTCTTGTATTATTTTTTTTTTTTGAGTGGGAGAGTCAGCTAGGGGAGTTCTGGCATATTACGTCTTTGACCAAAGTAAGAATAGCAAATGATTTCACGTGGGGCCCGGGCCCCGCAGTCTTTTCTTAAGTTGATTAAAATTTTAGCTAATTTATGGAGTAGATAAAAATTAGTTGACAAAAGTTGACCATATGCCAGCGGCAGAAGAAATTGCCAATTTTTTGCATAAAAATGTGGTCGAGTGTATGAGGATGTAACGTAGCTTCAAAAACATATTTTGAGTAAAAGAAAAAGAACTTTTATATTATAATGAGAATAAAATAATTTTTAATTACAGAAAAAACCAAATCAACAATTTCATAGTATGCGAGAGTGTAATGCATTCAATCTGCTATTAAAAGAGGATGAATACCCGTAGGAGCTTTTTCTAAAATGTGTCATTAACAATCCATATGGGTAACACAACCCGTTTGGTTCGATAAAAAATATTTGAAGGGAAATTTCATAGAAAATAAATTTCAAAAAAATGGCCGGATTCCATTATTTGGTTGGTGGAAAATAAATTACTGGGAATATAATTCAATTGTTTGGTTGGGTTTAGAAAGGTAAGGAATGATGAATATAAAGATCAATATGTCCCTAAAAAGATCATTGATTAAATAGCTAGGTACTTATGTAATTAAGAAACATTCATAAGGGTAAAATGATCCAATTATATTATTTTTAGCCCAAGCCTTGCCGAAACAAAATCTCACCCCTGCAAAAATTCATCTTCCTCAACTTTGTGGAATTTATTTTCCAATAGAAAATAAATTCCATGAACCAAACAAATATTAAACTATATTTTCCTTAACTTTTAGAAAAACATTTTTCTGAAAAATGATTTCCATCCAACCAAACACCTCCTAAAAGTATGTGGTCACCCGCACATAGGTTAGTTTATCATTTAATCAAGTTTTTTATAAATGATCAATCTTTGTATGTGCGATACGTGAAATTTAGTGCTCAACATTATTACCAATATGTTTAATTATGATTATATTAAAAATAATTTAAGAATAAATAATAATAAATGAATAAAGACTAGCTACAAGTTGTAAAATTCATATTATATTGAAATGATTAATTATCATTGTAATACTTGTATTTATATTGAAACAAAATAAAATGATAATTAAAAAATTTTGAGTTGCATATAATGTACAAAGTTGTAAAGACAATTGGTGCAAATTTAATTATTTGTTTCAAAAATGTAATTTATGATCTTTACATTATATATGACAATTATAAGGGTGCATTATAATTTGTGTTTATTAAGTCGTTTAGCATATTTATTAAGTAGCAATGTAGTTATAACAATGTAAAGGTATTTATGTCTAATATAAATAAAATAATAATATTTTTGTCAAATAAAAATACAATATATAATATTTGAAGTACAAATACAGTGTATGATTGGCTCGCAAAATGAGAATTTTGGAGATAAGAATACTATTCCATGCATCAATAATGGAATAAAGAATTGATTCAAATTTAACTATCTTAATTAATATAGAACAGCGAATATGCTGACTGATTCTCTCTCGGCAACCCAACGGCGGCGACCAATCGTCGCCGGAAGATCAAGATCTGTTGGAGAGAAGTACAAGAAAGCTAAAAGAGGACGAGAAGTAGGAGATTCATCCGCTCAGCCGTCGCAAGAGCAGACAATTCATGAAACCCTCCCTGGCTCTAGGGCAAACACCCCAGATTCGACCAACTGGAGAACGCCGGCAGCAACTCCGATCGTGTGTTTGGTTGGTGGGTTTTGCCCATAGGAATAGGTATGAAAGTGATTGTTGTTGTTTGGTTAATAGGTTTTTAGAACACTACTATGGGTTTCAAATACCCCATCAATTGAAAAACCCATACCCAAATACAATAAGGGTTTCATTCCATTATTCATTCTTAACCACTACTATTAGTAACCATTCCCATTCCACCCTACTACCAAACATGTTAAATACTTTCACCAAAACTCATTACCATTACCAAGTATTTGATTCCCATTCCGATTCCGATTCCTATGTGCGAACCAAACACCCCCCGAGTCAAGCCTGGAATCGCAGGCCTTCTTATCAACCGGCTAAGGAAATACTGGAATCTGACGATGACCCATGGAGGAGGCTGGTAAGTCCTTCGAGTTCCCCGTCATTCATGTGACCAAGGAGGAAAAGGAGAGACTCCGGCGACCGTGGCGAAGATCGCTTATCTTGAAATTACTGGGCAGGTAGGTAGGTTATTCCTACTTGCTCCAAAGATTGCAGCGCATGTGGAAGACAGAGGCGAGTTTCGAACTAATTGCATTAACCCACGATTTCTTTATTGAAAAATTCGAATCCCTAGCTGACTATGATGCAGTGAAGTTCGGGGACCATGGATGGTTCTGGATCACTACTTGGTCACGCAAGAATGGGGACCCAATTTCGATCCAAGAATTAGCAAGACAGACAAGCTTCTGCATGGGTACGCTTCCCTCCCTCCCCATTGAGTATTTTGACGATGACTTCTTGAAGAAAATTGGGAAGTCACTTGGACGCCCAATCAAGATTGATATCACCACCGGGCTGGCCTCAAAGGGGAAATTCGCACGAGTGTGCGTAGAACTTGACATGAGCAAACCATTGTTATCCAACTTTGTGATTAATATGACGGAATGGCCAATTGAATACGAGGGGATTCACCAAATTTGTTTCAAGTGTGGCATTTACGGCCATCGCATGGATACTTGCGGAGTTGGCGCCCCTTCCCGGCAGTCTTAGGCGAGAACGTTGATGGTGCAAGTGCGGAACCCCCGACAGAACAACCGATTCAAAAGCCCAGAGAGAAATATGGGGCATGGATGCTAGTAACTCGCAGGGACAGGAGAGCTCAGAATAGAGCTTTGCGACAGCCTGGTTCGACTAGAAGAAACGCAAGGCAGAATAATGCTCCACAGAATGTCCAACCCCAACCCAACCCCCTGAGATTGTCTCCCCTTCCTGCTTTGCGCCGCTAGATGGCCTTGAGGAATCAGAAGAGGATGCCCGCCCAGCCGCTCCGGTCAGACCTCCCGAGGTCCATTTTAACAGTTGAACAATCTTCCAAGAATCAGAACATCCTACCGAGGAGGCCACCAATGGGTGGAACCAAGAGCCCCGGAGAATGCTACAAGACCACCAGAACCTCCACCGATGGTTGCTCGCTCTCGCTCACCTGCTGCACGGGGTACACCCAGGGGACGAGGTGGCAGAGGCTTTGCTCCAAACAGAGCTGCGGTGAGCAGGAACATACAGTGGTCAGAGGCTCAAACAGAGGAGGACTTATCTCGACCTACACAATACGCCAGACAGAATCGCACTATGATTCTCCGGACTTAGCAGCTTTTGAGAATACCTACAAGGAAGCCCCACCTGACCTAGTCAATGATCAAGAACCAGTGGCGCATCAAGCTGTGGCTATGCAAGAGGACATTGATCGTATTGATCCTGAGTTTAATGAAACGGATTCTCGTCTGCGTCATTAGACGCGTTTTGGTTTCTCTTACCATTTTTTTTTATGATTATGTTGTCATGGAATTGTCAGGGTGCTGCCTCGGCTTCGTTCAGGCGCATCCTTAAACATTTATTGCATTTACATAAGCCGTCATTGATCTGCCTCTTCGAACCTAAGGTCTCAGGGGTGCAGGCCAATGACATTTGCTCTTCGTTTGCCTTTGATGAATGGATTAGGGTTGAATCGGTTGGGTACTCGGAGGAATTTGGCTGTTTTGGAATAATACTCATATACTCATACACCAGCAGCTTCGATCCATCGCTCGAAACACAACACAACAGTTTAACGATGTTCGAATGTCTGATCGAACCTAGTATCTCGACCTCAGCTAGAAACTCCCTCTCCAGAGTATGGTCCAGTTTTCTGTCATTCCAGATCCTTTTCACAGCAACATACTCGCCTAACTTACCCGTCGAGATCTTGTACACTTTTCCTGAGCCACCGCTACCAATCATATTGGTTTCTGTCAAACTGGACAGGATATTCTCCTCTGAGAAATCCAATTTCTGGAACGAGGTTACCTTCCAGGTCGCGATATCTTGAATGTGCTTCTTTTTCCTGTAGTCTCTGAGCATGTACAAGGTTACTATAATTGTGACCAGGAAGACAGTGATTGCCAGGACTAGGATCACTGCAAGAATCCTGGGTGAGAGGCTGTTAGAGCCCCCGCGAGATTGGGCATTGCAACCTGGGAGTTTAAGGTTGTGGGAACACAGATTAGGATTGTTTAAGAAACTGGTTTCAAAGGCCATGTTATCAAACTGGTCTGGGATGTTCCCAGAGAGTTTATTTGAGGAGAGGTTAAGGCTAGTGAGCCTTACATGGCCTAATTCAGGGGGGATTGAACCGGAGAATTGGTTCTGGGATAAGTCCAGATCAAGAAGATCAGGCAAAGAAGCAATGGCGGCTGGGATGTTGCCGGAGAGATGGTTTCCGGCAAGATTCAAGGTGGTCAACGATGACCATGAGAGGATTTTGGATGGGAGTTCGCCGGAGAGAGAATTCCCAGCGAGATTCAGCTCAATGAGATGGGAAAGGGCAGTGAATTCCTCCGGGAGCTGACCGGAAAGCTGGTTGTTACTCGCCTGAAACACGATAATTGTCTTCATTGACGATACGCCGGCGGGGATTTCGCCGGAGAATCTGTTGTTGTTGATCTCCAACCTTGTGAAATTCTGTGCTACCTTGCTCGGAAGCTGGCCGGAGAATGAGTTGTCGCTCAGCATCACGCTAGTCAAGTTGTTCAGAGTCCAAATCCCCGCCGGAACTTCCCCGGAAAACCCATTGCTGTAAAGCTGAATAGTCCTCAAAGCGTCGCAATTCTCAAGTGATCTCGGGATTCCCCCGGTCAGGTTGTTTTCATACGCTGTTATCCCAGTCAGAGCCTTGCCGGCGCACAAATTCTCCGGCAGGTTTCCGGTGAACCTATTGCCGAAAACCTCAAAGGCTTCTAGCCGGGAATGAAACCCCATTTCAGGAGGCAAAATCCCGCTGAAATTATTCGTGAAAACCTTAAAAATTTTCAGAGATGGGATTAAGCCTATGCTTGGTGGAATTTCACCATACAACTGATTTGAAAAGAGATTTAAAGTCTCTAGTCTCTGTAACTCTCCAAACCCGCCTGGGATTTCGCCGGTCAAATTGTTCATCGACAAATCGACTTCGGACAACCTCGAAGACTCGGCAAAACCCGACGGAATATGACCCGAAAGCCCGTTTTGGTACAGGAAAACCTGGCTGAGATTAGCGAGCAAGAACAATCCCCCTGGGATTTCGCCTTCTAAACTATTATAAGCAAAATCCAAATACTCAAGGCTCGATAGATTCTCGAAGCCTCTCGGAATTTCTCCGATCAGATTCGCGACCCGCCACCAGATAAACTTGAGCTTCTTAAGGTTACCGAACTCCGGCGGGATGGCCGCCGGCGAGAAGTTGTTGAACGCCATTCCCAGGCTTTCCAGATTCGACAATTTGGAGATTTCAACGGGGAAAGTACCGTCGAACAGATTGGAGTACAGATGTAGAAACCGGAGCTCCGTCAGGTTCCCGATGGTAGGCGGGACGTCGCCGGTGAAATTATTGCCGCCGAGGTCGAGGTGGCGGAGGTTCCGGAGCCGGTCAATGTCGGAAGGAATGGGGCCCACGAAGAAGTTCTGAGAGAGGTCCAAGTACTCCAGCTTCGAGCAGTTATACAAACCCGTCGGAAAATTGTTCGGAATATAATTCAAGGAAAGATCGAGGGCGGTGAGATTTTTAAGGCCGCAAATATTGGCCGGAATTTCCGACACGATGTCATACTCCTTTAAAAAGATTCCGGTGACGGAGCCGCCGGAGCACTCAATCTCCGGCCAGCTACACGGCGAGGAGGTGGCGTTCCATCCTTCAAGAGACGGCGGATTACCCCACCGCCGTTTCACCTCCAATAAGATATCACGGTCGGTCACCGGAGATTGCGAAATCACCGCAAAGGGCATTAAGGAAAAGAGAAACAGGAAAAGATAAGACGGAAATATGGAAAAGCACCGGAGTAAATTCGTCATTTTCCTAGTCAAACGGCGGTTAACAGTGATGGAGGGAAAGAAAGGCAGTTGAGATTTTCGACTTCCCGGCCAAAGGTCCGGTAAAGTAATCGTTAAAACGTCAAAGAGTTGGTCAACATTGGAGTGTCACTGTGGCGCACGGAGTACGAGAAAGAGAGAGAGACAGCTATATAAATGACAACTGAAGGGTCAGTACTGAATGAAAAGTATGGAACAATTGGCTCTTTATATCTTCGAAAATAACACTTAAATACGAAATTTTTATTTTATTTTTAAGTTTAAACCATAATTTTTTTTTTTAAATCAGTTTAAACAATATTTCATCACTGTTTTTGTGTGGGAAATTGGTGGGATAAGGTAATTAACACATAATATTGATTTTTTTTAACAAGAAAAATTCTCAAAAATCATTTAAAAGTATCTACCAGATAAACTATACTCTTATGTAATGGTTAAAAAAAAAAACTTCATAATCACATAAAAAAAATATTTATTAAATTATGAATTTACTGTAAATTCATAATTTTATAACAGAAAATTCATAATATCATAATAGAAAAATTCATAATCTCATAAAAGAAAATTCATAATTTCATAACTGCACATTCATGAATCCATCCCTGCACATTCATGCAATTATGAATGTGCAGGGATGGATTCATGAATGTGCAGTTATGAAATTATGAATTTTCTTTTTATGAGATTATGTTGAAGAAGCTTGCGCGAAGAGGAAGTGAAACCGCAAAATGTGAAACTGAACAAGAAAAGTCATGCAGTTAATTAAAGAAAAGAAAAAAAAAAAAGAAAAAAAAAATAACGATGCACTGTTACCGTTGGGACCGTGTTCACCATGGATGGTGAACACGGTTCCATGGCATAACGATTCCACAGGGCCTCATATTTTAGAAAATTCAATATTTAATTTTTACCTAGCTAGTTAATAAATAAAAAAAATTATAATTAATTTTAAAAGATTTTATGGAGGAATGGTAGAAATGTGTGTCTATAGTGTTTGATCTTGAAGATGGGAGGTTTGAATCGTGCCCACTGCTTTAGCTTTGCGCATATCTTTCCTTAAAAAAAAAAAAAAAAAATCATTTTGCTTTGCATACACTTTTTTTTTTTAATCCTTTTGCCTTTCTCTTTGTGCACATCAGTATTTTACCATATTATTATTATTATTATTGTTGTTGTTGTTCTTGTTGTTGTTATAATTGTAATTTATTCCATAATATGTATTTTATCTTTCTCTTTGCGCACAATAACATTTTACCACATTATTAGAAAAAATTACGGTATTGATTCTAAAAATTGTGCTTTTGATAGGGCTTTATTTATTTACAAGGACGAGACCACAAAAATCTAAAAATCAATCTTGTTGATAAATAACTAAAAATATACATATCTCACTAATATTAGGATCAAAAGTGAATATTATGATAAAATAATTTAAAATAAACTGTCACTAATAAATTAAATTTAGGATAAAAAAAAAAAAATTAGCTCTTGTATTATTTTATTTTTTTTGAGTGGGAGAGTCAGCTAGGGGAGTTCTGGCATATTACGTCTTTGACCAAAGTAAGAATAGCAAATGATTTCACGTGGGGCCCGGGGCCCCGCAGTCTTTTCTTTAAGTTGATTAAAATTTTAGCTAATTTATGGAGTAGATAAAAATTAGTTGACAAAAGTTGACCATATGCCAGCGGCAGAAGAAATTGCCAATTTTTTGCATAAAAATGTGGTCGAGTGTATGAGGATGTAACGTAGCTTCAAAAACATATTTTGAGTAAAAGAAAAAGAACTTTTATATTATAATGAGAATAAAATAATTTTTAATTACAGAAAAAAACCAAATCAACAATTTCATAGTATGCGAGAGTGTAATGCCATTCAATCTGCTATTAAAAGAGGATGAATACCCGTAGGAGCTTTTTCTAAAATGTGTCATTAACAATCCATATGGGTAACACAACCCGTTTGGTTCGATAAAAAATATTTGAAGGGAAATTTCATAGAAAATAAATTTCAAAAAAATGGCCGGATTCCATTATTTGGTTGGTGGAAAATAAATTACTGGGAATATAAATTCAATTGTTTGGTTGGGTTTAGAAAGGTAAGGAATGATGAATATAAAGATCAATATGTCCCTAAAAAGATCATTGATTAAATAGCTAGGTACTTATGTAATTAAGAAACATTCATAAGGGTAAAATGATCCAATTATATTATTTTTAGCCCAAGCCTTGCCGAAACAAAATCTCACCCCTGCAAAAAATTCATCTTCCTCAACTTTGTGGAATTTATTTTCCAATAGAAAATAAATTCCATGAACCAAACAACATATTAAACTATATTTTCCTTAACTTTTAGAAAAACATTTTTCTTGAAAAATGATTTCCATCCAACCAAACACCTCCTAAAAGTATGTGGTCACCCGCACATAGGTTAGTTTATCATTTAATCAAGTTTTATTATAAATGATCAATCTTTGTATGTGCGATACGTGAAATTTAGTGCTCAACATTATTACCAATATGTTTAATTATGATTATATTAAAAATAATTTAAGAATAAATAATAATAAATGAATAAAGACTAGCTACAAGTTGTAAAATTCATATTATATTGAAATGATTAATTATCATTGTAATACTTGTATTTATATTGAAACAAAATAAAATGATAATTAAAAAATTTTGAGTTGCATATAATGTACAAAGTTGTAAAGACAATTGGTGCAAATTTAATTATTTGTTTCAAAAATGTAATTTATGATCTTTACATTATATATGACAATTATAAGGGTGCATTATAATTTGTGTTTATTAAGTCGTTTAGCATATTTATTAAGTAGCAATGTAGTTATAACAATGTAAAGGTATTTATGTCTAATATAAATAAAATAATAATATTTTTGTCAAATAAAAATACAATATATAATATTTGAAGTACAAATACAGTGTATGATTGGCTCGCAAAATGAGAATTTTGGAGATAAGAATACTATTCCATGCATCAATAATGGAATAAAGAATTGATTCAAATTTAACTATCTTAATTAATATAGAACAGCGAATATGCTGACTGATTCTCTCTCGGGCAACCCAACGGCGGCGACCAATCGGTCGCCGGAAGATCAAGATCTGTTGGAGAGAAGTACCAAGAAAGCTAAAAGAGGACGAGAAGTAGGAGATTCATCCGCTCAGCCGTCGCAAGAGCAGACAATTCATGAAACCCTCCCTGGCTCTAGGGCAAACACCCCAGATTCGACCAACTGGAGAACGCCGGCAGCAACTCCGATCGTGTGTTTGGTTGGTGGGTTTTGCCCATAGGAATAGGTATGAAAGTGATTGTTGTTGTTTGGTTAATAGGTTTTTAGAACACTACTATGGGTTTCAAATACCCCATCAATTGAAAAACCCATACCCAAATACAATAAGGGTTTCATTCCATTATTCATTCTTAACCACTACTATTAGTAACCATTCCCATTCCACCCTACTACCAAACATGTTAAATACTTTCACCAAAACTCATTACCATTACCAAGTATTTGATTCCCATTCCGATTCCGATTCCTATGTGCGAACCAAACACACCCCGAGTCAAGCCTGGAATCGCAGGCCTTCTTATCAACCGGCTAAGGAAATACTGGAATCTGACGATGACCCCATGGAGGAGGCTGGTAAGTCCTTCGAGTTCCCCGTCATTCATGTGACCAAGGAGGAAAAGGAGAGACTCCGGCGACCGTGGCGAAGATCGCTTATCTTGAAATTACTGGGCAGGTAGGTAGGTTATTCCTACTTGCTCCAAAGATTGCAGCGCATGTGGAAGACAGAGGCGAGTTTCGAACTAATTGCATTAACCCACGATTTCTTTATTGAAAAATTCGAATCCCTAGCTGACTATGATGCAGTGAAGTTCGGGGGACCATGGATGGTTCTGGATCACTACTTGGTCACGCAAGAATGGGGACCCAATTTCGATCCAAGAATTAGCAAGACAGACAAGCTTCTGGCATGGGTACGCTTCCCCTCCCTCCCCATTGAGTATTTTGACGATGACTTCTTGAAGAAAATTGGGAAGTCACTTGGACGCCCAATCAAGATTGATATCACCACCGGGCTGGCCTCAAAGGGGAAATTCGCACGAGTGTGCGTAGAACTTGACATGAGCAAACCATTGTTATCCAACTTTGTGATTAATATGACGGAATGGCCAATTGAATACGAGGGGATTCACCAAATTTGTTTCAAGTGTGGCATTTACGGCCATCGCATGGATACTTGCGGAGTTGGCGCCCCTTCCCCGGCAGTCTTAGGCGAGAACGTTGATGGTGCAAGTGCGGAACCCCCGACAGAACAACCGATTCAAAAGCCCAGAGAGAAATATGGGGCATGGATGCTAGTAACTCGCAGGGACAGGAGAGCTCAGAATAGAGCTTTGCGACAGCCTGGTTCGACTAGAAGAAACGCAAGGCAGAATAATGCTCCACAGAATGTCCAACCCCAACCCCAACCCCCTGAGATTGTCTCCCCTTCCTGCTTTGCGCCGCTAGATGGCCTTGAGGAATCAGAAGAGGATGCCCGCCCAGCCGCTCCGGTCAGACCTCCCGAGGTCCATTTTAACAGTTGAACAATCTTCCAAGAATCAGAACATCCTACCGAGGAGGCCACCAATGGGTGGAACCAAGAGCCCCGGAGAATGCTACAAGACCACCAGAACCTCCACCGATGGTTGCTCGCTCTCGCTCACCTGCACGGGGTACACCCAGGGGACGAGGTGGCAGAGGCTTTGCTCCAAACAGAGCTGCGGCTGAGCAGGAACATACAGTGGTCAGAGGCTCAAACAGAGGAGGACTTATCTCGACCTACACAATACGCCAGACAGAATCGCACTATGATTCTCCGGACTTAGCAGCTTTTGAGAATACCTACAAGGAAGCCCCACCTGACCTAGTCAATGATCAAGAACCAGTGGCGCATCAAGCTGTGGCTATGCAAGAGGACATTGATCGTATTGATCCTGAGTTTAATGAAACGGATTCTCGTCTGCGTCATTAGACGCGTTTTGGTTTCTCTTACCATTTTTTTTATGATTATGTTGTCATGGAATTGTCAGGGTGCTGCCTCGGCTTCGTTCAGGCGCATCCTTAAACATTTATTGCATTTACATAAGCCGTCATTGATCTGCCTCTTCGAACCTAAGGTCTCAGGGGTGCAGGCCAATGACATTTGCTCTTCGTTTGCCTTTGATGAATGGATTAGGGTTGAATCGGTTGGGTACTCGGGAGGAATTTGGCTGTTTTGGAATAATACTCTTTCAGTTGAGATTCTTTATACTCATCCTCAATTTATTTCCTTTCAGGTGACTGAGAATGGTTCTTCACCTTGGCTGATGTCGGCTGTGTATGGCAGCCCCAATCCGGCTTTGAGAAAACGGCTTTTCATGGACCTATCAGGGCAGTATTTCGAACCCCATGGGCCTTGGCTAATAGTGGGTGATTTCAATTCCATCACTGACCGAAGTGAAGTCAGTAGCTCAAAGACTTTTACATCATCCAGGTGTTCGGCTTTTAACAATTGGATTTTTAGGGAAGCCTAGGTCGATCTAGTCTATTCGGGATCAGTTTATACTTGGATGCGAGGGATAGACACACCGTCTTTCAAAGGAGCCCGGTTGGACCGTGCTCTATGCAACGTCGAATGGAGTTCTCGCTTCCTGGCAACAACCGTTACCCACCTTCCCAGGATTGGGTCTGATCATTCACCACTCCTCATCTCCACAACTGGAGCTACCCGACAACAGTGCTTTAACAGATTCAGGTTCAATATGGCATGGGTAACGCATAATACTTTTCAGGCTTGTGTCTAATCCACTTGGAAGAATGACTTAGACTTAACTGCTAATTTAGCAGCAATGGCCCAGACGTTAACAGTATGGAATAAGACAACTTTTAGTAACATATTTCAACGCAAGCAACTTCTGCTAAGAAGACTAGATGGAGTCCAGAGGAGTATATCTGTAAGAGTAAGATCGGACTTAATCAGATTGGAACGCAGGCTACGCAAGGAACTTGAGGAAACACTCCACCAAGAAGAACTTATGTGGTTTCAAAGATCAAGAGAGGAGTGGATAAAGTCGGGGGACCGCAATACCCATTTCTACCAAATGGTATCAACTGTTCGGAAAAATCAAGATAAAATCAGTTGCTTAAAAGATGAGGATGGAAGGATATTTTCGAAAGATGATGAAATCAGGAAACACGTCTGAGAATACTTTATTGCTCTATTTTCAGGAAATCCCAGGACTAGTACTCAAAACTTACACCATGGTTCGTTCCCAACCATTTCTGCTTCTGACTGGGAGAAGGTATACACCCCTGTTACCCTGGAGGAAATCAAAACAGCCCTCTCGGAGATGGCACCTTCCAAGGCACTGGGCCCCAATGGTTTTTCGGCAGCATTTTTCCAAAAGGCCTGGCCCTCTATAAGCGATACTCTATTCAATTTTGTCAAAAACTTCTTTGAGAATGGCATTTTGCCTCCTGGTTGCAATGATACTCTAATTTCCCTCATCCCGAAGGTACATCAACCGGTCCTGGTCAAGCAATTCCGGCCAATTGGATTGTGTAATGTAGCCTACAAATTGATCACCAAAATCATGACGCTGCGACTTAAGGAAATTTCTAGCAAACTTGTGAGACCTCATCAGTCAAGTTTCATTCACGGCCGACAGATTGTGGATAACACTCTTGCTTACCAGGAAACTCTACACTCCCTAGGAAAGAAAAAAGGAAGGTTAGGTTGGATGGTTCTTAAGGTTGATCTTGAAAAAGCATACGATAAACTATCTTGGGACTTCATCAAGGACACACTACAGGACATTGGGTTTAGTCAATCTTGGGTTGGAAATATCATGCAATGCATCTCGACCTCCCGGCTTGCAGTGTTGTGGAATGGACACCAAACTGACTGGTTTACCCCGGAACGGGGAATTAGACAGGGAGACCCTATTTCCCCTCTTTTATTTGTACTATGCATTGAAAGATTGAGCCACATCATTGACAAAGCCATTAATAACAGTCAATGGAAAGGCATAAAACTTTCTCGAGAAGCCCCTAACCTGACTCACTTGTTTTTTGCAGATGATCTAGTCTTATTTGGGGAAGCCACTGTTAACCAGGCGAGTGTGATGAAAAGCTGTCTTGACACATTCTGTTCTAGCTCGGGTCAAAGTGTTAGTCTTCAGAAATCCTCGATTTATTTCTCGAGAAACACGAAACCAGTAGTACAGCAGCGCATTACGGAAGCCCTTCGAATTCCAAGCGTTCCAGCTTTGGGCAATCATTTAGGAATACCCTCTGTGCATGGCAGGTTGAGTAAAGATTCGTTCAACAGAATTCTGGATAGGATTCACTCACGCCTCGATGGATGGAAAGCTAAGACTCTTTCACTAGCAGGTAGACATATAATGGCGCAATCAGTTCTTTCGGCCATTCCGTACTATAGCATGCAGTCCATGCTGCTACCGGCTGGAGTTATTGAGGCTATAGAAAGGCGTATTCGGAGCTTCCTTTGGGGCAACAAGGAAGGTGAGAGAAGGTGCCACTTGGTGAAATGGGATGTTGTCACAAACAGTAAGGCGAATGGGGGCTTGGGTATCAAAAACCTTAGACTAATGAATTTGGTTTTTTTAGCTAAGCTAGCATGGAGATTCTTTCAGGAAGAAGGCTGTCTTTGGATCAAAATCCTAAAAGCTAAATATGGGGCTGAACGAACTGTGTTTCCCTCTTGGAAATTGAAGAATAACAGCTCCAATACGTGGAAAGGAATCCTTCAAGCATTACCTATCATTCAAAACGGTATCAAGTGGCATGTAAGCAATGGGAGATCAACCCGGTTTTGGTTGGATACCTGGCTAGAGGCTGGTCCTTTGCTTGAATCCGCCCTGGAGCAAATTGCCCCTTCAACACTCAATAATACCGTGGCAGCTTATTGGATTGCGGGTGTAGGTTGGAAGTGGGATCTGCTTGATCGGGTTCTTCCTGCTAGAATCTTAAGTAGACTGGCTACTGTAGTGTTACATGAGGAATCCCACCCAGAGGATCGAACCATATGGAGCATGGAGGCAAATGGTCAGTTTTCTGTTAGTACAGCCTATGAGGCAGCTATTAAGGCTCCAACAGCAAGTGACTCTGCTAAATGGATCAACCTCTGGAAATTGAAAGTTCCAAACCGGATTTGTACATTCCTTTGCCTGGTGAGACATGACAGGATCATGACGAACCGAAATCGAAGGAAACATGGTTTTACTGATAACGAAAATTGCTGGTACTGTGGTACGATAGTTGAAGATACTGATCACATCCTTCGTTTTTGCCCATTAGCAGAGAAGGTTTGGAAACACACCCTACCACAGCTGCACGAAGACACTCGCAATTTGCCCCTGATTACCTGGCTGGATGAGGGTCTCTCGACGAAAGGTGGCGGGAGAAGGCCATGCAACGACAACGCCACCTTTGCTATCATCCTTTGGTGGCTGTGGAAGTGGTGTAATGAGGCTGTTTTCAGAGGCATAATTAAACCCTGTAAATCTAAAGTCTCCTTAATCCAATCTCATTCCGAGGAGATCATCTCTGCCTTTTCAAAATCGAAAGGCCCTCTGGTCTGCAACAATCCCATAGCTTGGAAGATGTTCCACTGGACAAGACCCCCCCCCCCCCCCCCCCGATAACTCTATTAAATTGAATATAGATGGAGCAGTGGCCTCTCTTTCGAATCTTGCTGGCTGCGGCGATGTGATAAGGGACCCATCAGGTGCTTGGAAGATAGGCTTCTTGGCCAAACTAGGAACTTGCACCCCCCTAGAGGCGGAAGCTTGGGCGATTTTAAAAGGGATACAATTTGCTACAGCCAAAGGATTCAAGATCGTGTATATTGAAAGTGATTCACATGAAGCTGTCGACTACTTGATCAATCCTAGACCTCCTAGTATTGCCGCCCACAATGTCCTCGAAGCATGCAAGAAGGAACTCCGCCACTTTGACTTCTGGGAGCTCAAACCCATATTTCGAGAACAGAATTGTGTTGCTGATGCATTGGCTAAGATGGCCTTAGACCATGACTTTGGACTCCTCTCGTTAACAGACCCGCCGGACGGGATTAGCTTTCTCCTAGATGATGATAGTTCTGGCCTTCCTGTTTGGCGCAATATATTAGACTCTGTGTAAACTTGTGTTTCCTTTCGTTTTGGGTTTCCCCCTTCTCAAATAAATAAATAAAATAATAGAATAAAGAAGAAATATAATTATAAGAATTCTAATATAATACTATTCTTAATAACAAAATGTCAAAGCAAATTATAGAATTCTACTCGCATGAATGTTATTTCATTTGTGATATATTTCATAAACCAAACTTTAACATTTTTTACCATGAGTGTAGATAAGATATGCAAAATGGTCCAATATTACTAGTCGTCCCGGCCGTTTTTCCTTTTAAAATATCAATAATAGTGATGGATTAGATTAACTCATGTAGCCAAGATTAATTAATCCAATAATAATAAATAAATGGATAATGATATGGTCATATAGATAACATAATAGAAAAGATAAATAATGTATCACGCAGACAAATCTTGTACTAATGAATGTTGTAAGGTGATTACAAGTGAATGAATTGGTTGAATGATGTCTTAACAAGACAATAATGAGCTAATTTATACGAAGGCTTCCTCCTAACCTCCCCCATGAGAATAGAGCAGGCAGTTGGATCCTCTTTGACCACGTCCGCGCTTGTAGCGCACAAGGCCGATGCTACACCGGGCTGAGATCGCCCCAAGCTTGGATCATCCCATTTCTCTTCAGGTCGATTTGGTCCATGTCTATCTATAATATATTCATCAAATATATCGAAGGGTGTCCTAATATTTGTGGAACTTTATGGACCTACACCTACTATTTTACAAATTTTCACAAAAACAACACTTAAAAAACTAAATTTTAAAATCACATATGGCAAACTCTTAGTGGGTGTTTGATTCAATGAATATTTTGAAGTAATATATATATATATATATATATATATATATATATATATATAACATTCTCAGGAATCTCGCATAACATAAGAATGTGGGATGAATATGATTCCCGTTAAAGGTATAAAAAAATGAAACAAAGTTTGTGAATCTCACATTCCTTACAGTAATCTAAGAAAGGTATAATTTGTAACAAGAGATCAATGATCTAGTTTACAAGTGACAAAGTGAGAGCAACCTCTTAAAATGAGAGTGAGTTTTTGTACATAGTGAGTAGTATAGTATCTGCTAATTAGTTGAGTTATCATAATTTACCAATTTATAATCTTGTTAGAGAGTATGAGTACAGTGCCTGGGAGTGGGTGATTCTATTTTTTGTCCCAAGAAAAGATGAGGAAATTTTTATTTAATCCATTATAAATTTAATTCATTTACGATGATTCGATGAAGAATACATTTTTTTTATTTAATTTTCCGGAATCTCTTTTTAGAAGATAAGAAGATAGATTTATTTATTGGTAATAAAGTTGTGTGAAGCAGACAAAAAGCATTGGCACATC